ACAGTGCTCAGTCAGAGCCCAGGATGTCCGGTAGCAAGAGGAAAAACAGTGGTGATGTGGAGGGGACTGCTAGGAAGCACAAAGCAATAACCATGGAAACAAAAGTGAAAATAATTGAGAGATTGGACCGAGGTGAAAAGATGGTAGACGTCGCTCATTCTTGTAACACGAATCATTCAACCATTGGCTTTACATTGTATATTTGTGTCAAAGGTGTATAAGACTCACTTTGTCGGACTTACAAACGAATCCAACTTACGAACGTTCTCCCAGAACGGAACTCATTCGTAAGTCGGGGACTTACTGTATTCTTGACAGTTATGCCACCTACAACCTCTCTTTCCTTTGCCCATCTTTGTAGCTGTGCCTTTGCAGTCTTCTTGCCATGTCCTGACTTCCTCCATTTCTTCTCCCTCCTAGATCGGGTGGTAGATGACCTCAATCCCATGCTGAACTTCACACGGAAGGAAGTGGAGAACCTACTGCACTTCGTTGAGAAGGAGCCAGCTCCCCAGGCATCCTTGAATGTAAAGGCGATCAAGGAGCCAGTCCTACAGCTTGCCTGTCTGAAGTACCCTCACCTCATCACCAAGGTAAGAACCTGCTGTGCATGCCATGCCCGGTACAGCAGTTTCCAGCAAGGGAGGCTTGTCTGGCAAGCTTGTTTTCTTCATTCGAACTTTTGTTTCATGCAAGCGACTTAAACGCAACTGGTTCTTTTCCTTGTCCCATGCACTCCCCCTGCCCATCCCCAGTCTGGTCCTATGAGTGCTGAGCTCAGCCATGTGGAATAATTTGGCCAATGTGTTTTCCGAGCATAGAGAGATGGAAAGTTCTAAAAATGTAACCTGTTAATTCTCTGACCTCTCCCACCCTTTTGATATGGAAGGCAGACTTGGGTTGTCTAAAGCTGGTGCTAGGTTAGAGCTGTGAATTATACTCTCGACAGAAAGACAGTGAAGCTGCCTGTGTATCTGTGAGCAGGGCTCTGCTGGTGCTGGAGATAGCCAGCCCTTTCTAGGTTTCAAAGTAAGGCTCGTTGTGTATCAGCCGTGGTGGCTGGTAATTAAATCAGCATCCTCCTGTGTCCCCAGGAGCCTTTTGAGCATGAGTCATTGCTCCTTAACCGAAAGGATCACAAGCTGACCAAGGCGGAGAAAAAAGCAGCAAAGAAAAGCTATGAGGAAGACAAACGCACATCAGTCCCCTACACCCGCCCTTCGTATGCGCAGTATTATCCTGCCAGCGACCAGAGCCTGACCAGCATCCCCGCCTTCAGTCAGAGAAACTGGTGAGTGGCTGAAAGGGGAGCAAGGTCTGCTGCTGGGCCAGGCCCAGACCTTTCCGCTGGTTCCTTTTTTAAGCAAAGGGAGAGACCACAACTTGTTCTTTGGCAGCTAAGAACTGACGGGTTCTGCTCTTGAATGAGGTGCTGGAGCAGTTCAGCCCTGGTGTCTTAAGTGGCTCTGGTTGGAAGAGAGAGCTGCTGGCCTTGTGACTCAGGAGAGTCTTTTGGGATTCCCGGGAGGTGTGGCTTCCCAAAACACAGCTGCCTCCTATCTGTAGCACTGTGGTCCTAGACCTTGCTTTGCAATGAGGTTCAAGAGTAAAGGCCAGGTCTCTGGGAGTCTTGGATTGCAGTCAGTGACTTCTGCTATTCCTAATGGGATTGTGTCCTGAGGGAAAAATCTTTTTCTTGGATACAACTTCTAGAATTGTTCAGAATATGAACAGGATGGGAGCCAATTGCTAAGTGGAGAGAGGGGCTCTTTCTAAGAAATTACAGAACAGTTACCTGTGTTTAACTTTTTTTTTTCCATTTTGAGACAAAGTGCCTCGTAACTGTTAGCAGATCAGCAGCTTAATTGGTGGTTTGCATCTTTAAATTGTTCAATTATCTTGATTTAAAGATGACTTTTTTTTTCTAAACTTGCCAAATGAGGTGCTAAAGGAACTGAAACCATGTAAGATTTTATATAAGACTAATTTTTGGTGAGTAAATTTATTACTTTTTATGTACAAGATGCTTTCAAGTAGACAGTCACTCTCTTTCAAAGCCTTCAGACTTTATTTCGTGTCATTTTCCAAAATACTGTTGCCTGGGAATTTTCTCTGTTGTCCTCCACCCCTATTTTTTCTTTTCTGGGCTTTTCCATGTAACCGTAGGGATGGACTAAGCCTGAATTNGAGCGACCGTCCAGAGGCCAGTGACTGATCTGCCTCGCCCGGGAAGAGCACAATGATGGTGCCAACTTGGGCCAGTGAAGCAACGTCCTTCACAACTAGACTGAAGAACAAACCAACAGCAACTTGTCTGTTCCCCTTCCCTCGATTCCCCAGTGCTGTTCCCCTCCCCCAATTCCCCAATAAAATCTTTAAAAAAAAAATAAAATAAGCTTTGTATATAGAACCAAATAAGTAATGTGATTTGTTCCAAAGTCACATTCTCAGTTTGGCCAGAGCTTTGAGTCCCATCAAGGCCTGATACCTCAGGGAAACAAAGTAGATTGCTTCTCCTTTGTTCTGACTAGATTATGCTCCAATGAGAGCTAAGTGGCAGGAGCCTGGCTTGGGAGCCTCGGAGTGAGGGTCTCCACGTGTGACACACTTGGAGAGGACAGCAGTTCTCACTTTGGAGAGAGCCTGCTGGTTTTGTGGATCACTTCCGAGGAGACTGGCTTTGCATAACACAGAAGCAACTGAGGGCTTCTATCTCCCCAGTGAGACCGTGGTATTACCTGTGGTCTATAGTTAGAGCTAACACATATTCAATGCAGTGCTGGGTTTTAATGCTGATGTTATTTGTTACTAGGCACTGAGCTAAACCCCTGAATTTCCCAGTTGAGGAAGTCATAGGGTAAAAAGCGTTTTAGCAGGTGGTGGTAGTAAGCGTGTGGATGACTCTGCTCCCATTGTGAGCTAGAGAGACCGCTTGGTGGTTCTTTGTGGGGTTACCTCGTTGAGGGAGCAGGTTGTGGGAGCTTCCAGCATCAGAAGGCTGCACACGATTGTGGGCCTGGCGGGAACAAGATTCCCGTGGGTCTGGGAGCCTTCTGAACCACATGTTGTCCCTTTCAGCCAGAGCCTTTCCACCTTGGCTCTCATCGAGGAGTTCCTAGGGAAACGAGAGATGCCCTGTCCACCTGGTGCTGAGGGGCAAGGAGCACAGAAGTGGGTTCGGAATGTCAGCTACTTCCGTGAGTTCATTGCTGCTTTGTTCCTGGAGCCTTGGCATGGTCTGCTTAAGGTTTTCCTTTTCTTTCCCTTTTTCCTTCTACTCCATTCTCCTTCAAATGCATAGGAACACCTGTGATTAGCCAAGGAGCAGGGAGATGCTGAGAGTGAGCTGCTGTGTGTGAGGCACTGTACTGCGGGCTGGGGAGCTTAGGCGAGACAGGAGTGCAGAGAAGTAGAAGGCCTAGGCCTTGCCTTTATCTGAGACGGGACAGCTCGAGGACAAATACAAAGTAGCACCAATTGAGTGCCTTAACTGGGGTTCTAAGGAGGACGGAATCATGGCAATGAAGATGGTTGGAGAAGGCTTCCTGGAGGAGGTAGAACTTGTAATAGAACTAGACTCACAAAAATGGAGAGAATTTGAAGATACAGAGCTAGTGTGACCCAAAGGTCATTCTACGGGGAAGGAGGAGAGTGATCACAAGTCTAGATCATGCATTCTCTGTGGGGGAGATAGCATCCCTAAAGGGGTGAAAATTGGTTCTTAGGGGGATGAAAAATCTTAACTTTTTGAAGTATAAAACACAAACATGCATAGAGTAAATACACATACAATATATCTGTGGTATTAAAATTACATGGGGGGGGCATGGTAATTAGGAAAAAAAATGTATAAAAAGGTTCTTTAAGGGGATGGTGATGAAAAGAAGTTGGGAAGTATTAACCTCAGGCACTTACTGACCAGATACTGACATTTGGGCCAGATAACCATTTGTTGCCAGAGGCAGCCAGGTGCACTGTAGGGCGTTCAGCAGCATCCCTGGGCCTCTACTCACTAGATGGCAGTAGAATGCAATCACCAACCGTGTGTCCAGGCATTGCCAAATGTCTCTCGTGGGGTGGAGGGTGGAGAAATCCCCCTTGTTGAGAAGCATTGGCCTAAAGGAAGGGTTTAGAGAAATGGGGGCTCAGGGAGTAGTGAGGAGACCCCCAGCACAGGGTCTGGCCTGGAGCCTCATGTTGACTATACGCTTGCCCAGTAAGTCAGTACAGAGCTGTGCTTGGGAACTGTGGGAACTCAGGTTGGAAAGGTAGATTGGAGTACTGATTGACAGAGCCTCCAATCCCAGGCAAGTAAACTAATGCTTCCTGCACCTGTAGTAATTCAGTTCTCTGCCCTTTTTTCTGCTTTACCTGAGGTGACAAGGGTAGCCCCTGCTCACTTATTCATGCTGCTTCTTAACTGAAAGTTACCTTTTCTCCTTTTGAGCTTTCCTTTTTCATTCATATATCCCATCCCATGGCTTCATATCTATTCCTTTTGTGTCTCCTTATGGCAAGTTCTTAGCCTTAGGAGCTTAACAGTGCAGACTCCAGGTGGAGGAACATCGTCCATATTAAAACACAAGCCCCTTGGTCCTTCTGTACTCGTCAGAATTCCCAGGACTGAGGCAGAGAGGTTGCCTGAGCCAGTGTCTACCCAAGATTCCATATTCAGCGTGCTTTTTATGTGCTCTAAAGTCTAGGAACCTTAGCCTTAGAATGGACCCAAGATACTAAAGGGAGAAAATTAATGTGTAATCTTTGTTGCACATGAGAATTGCCTGGGGGGATTTTTAAATCGTCTGGGCCTCATGGCAGACCCATAGAATGTCCCAGGGGTAGAACCTGAAATGCAGTGTAGTGTATGTGTTTGCTTGTTTGTTTTGTTTTTAAAAGATGTTTGCCCCGTGATTTGGCTATGTACCCCTGCCCTCATCTGTCCATTTCTTGTGGTTTTCCTTCTGTTCTAGGGCTAGATGGTAGCACCCCTGCCTTTGAGAGGGAGCGGCTCATTAATCAGTTCAATGATCCCAGCAACCTCACCACCTGGCTGTTCCTTCTCTCCACAAGGTGAGTGCATCCTGAGAGGGGAGGTCAGAGGGCTGTGCTGGGGGCAATTGGCCACGTGGGCAGGGACCCCAAAGGCTCATCCAACTTCCATCAGAAGAGACCTGTTCAGGTTTGTGACTTGTTTTTGAGGTGAGAGAGGAGACACCAAAAGGAAGTTAGTTGTGTTAGAAGGGCAATTGTGACACTTTTCATTACGTTCTGTAAGACCTTTATTTACAATGGTCATAATTAGCTTTTTTCTCATGAGTGTTCTGAGGCTTAGACAATGTGATGAAAGTGTTTTAAGCAGTGGAAAATGCAGTATAACTATAAAGGCTGGTGTCTCGGGCCAAGCAGCTTGAAGCCTGTGCTGTCACCCCTATCAGAATGCCCTGGGTGGGGTAGGAACCAGTCATTCTTCCGAGCTATTAGAGTAAACGCACCGGGAATATCTGTATGCAGATGGTTCTCCCTTACCAGGTGACATCACTCTGGGCCTCACTCAGTACAGGGGGGTGGAGAGTGGTCTTTCTGAGCTGGTACACTTTCATGGTGGACATTCAGGACACACTTTTTAGGGCTTGAGGACATGCACTGTCCATCAGCAGGACAGCAGAATCTGCCAGAATGTTGTGCTTAGGACGAAGAGGATGATGTCAGATTGCAGTAAATCTGATTTGAAAACCGTCTTCATAACTAAAGGCTCTGTGATTGTTGCTTGTGTTTTAAAGAGCCGGGTGTTTGGGCGTGAATCTGATCGGTGCCAATCGAGTGGTGGTGTTTGATGCTTCCTGGAACCCGTGCCATGATGCTCAGGCAGTATGTCGGGTATACCGTTATGGCCAGAGAAAGCCCTGTCACATCTATCGCCTTGTGGCTGATTTCACCCTCGAAAAGAAGATCTACGACCGTCAGATTTCCAAGCAGGGCATGTCAGGTGGGCCACCTCCCAGGCTCAGAAGGGGCTCATTTATATAGGCTTCCATCTTTCCTGTATCAAGAGGCAGGATGTGGGAACACGGGTGGCTCTCAATCATAGAAAGCCAGCAGTTTCTCCATCTTGTTCTGATTCAAATAATTGCTTAAGAGGGCACTGACCTCAACTTGTTGAAGGTGGGTTGAAGCTGAGCTTGTTATGCAGGTTTCTCTTATGACACCTCCATTTCACCAGGGCCTCAGACCTGGTCTTGGACTTCCAGATATGGAACAGCCAGAGGTGCTTTAGATACAGTAAGTCCCCAACTTACGAACATTTGAGTTGCGAACTTTCACAGATACGAACGGACCTC